TTCGGTGGTGCTGGACGCGGTGCAAAGAAGGACGACGACTCCAACGACCAACAAGGAGGTACCGGTTGGGGTCGCGGTGTGAAATCTGGACGTGGGGGCAAGTCGGGTGCTGGTGGCAAAATGAAAGGGAGTTGCTGGTATTGTGAGAAGGAAGGGCACCCCTGGTTTTTGTGCTATAAGAAACCCGATGGATGGACCCCCCAGAATCGTCACCAGGATGGCGGCGCGCGGAGGAACCAGAAAACCGGTGCCAACATGATCGCTGATTCGTCAGACAACAACCCAAAGGGCAACGGCGGTGCGGAGAAGAAGAAGGAGCGCACCGCGGGCCAATTCTTCCATATGGGAGACAAGGGGGAGCAAGGAGACGCCTCTGCCAAGGTTGGAGCAGAGCTGCACCCCCTGGATTATTGGGTGTTGGACACGGGCGCTGCTTGGACGATGACGCCATGCAAGGACCTGCTGGACCACGTACGCGCTGCACCGATCAACGAGGTGTGCTCCGCCTCTGGACACGCGCTGAAGGTGGCTGGTGCGGGACGAGCTGCGTTTAAGGGGGCGGATGGCAAGCCGGTGGTGCTGCACGACGTTCTTCTCGTTCCTGAACTCAAGGCCAACCTCATCTCCCTCCGTAAGCTTGGCAAGGCTGGGGTGAGCACTAGCACGGATGGGGCACGCACTTACAAGGGGCAGCTGGGCAATCGGGTGCTTTGGGATCTGCACGAGAGCACGGACGTGTACAGATCCATGTGGCAGCTGCCGGCGTTGGCGTGGCATGGTGGGGGGCAGGCTGGAGAGGGGTCTGCATCCCAGGGGGAGTGCAACGCCGTTGGAGGGGTTGGTGTGAAAGTGTCGGCCAGATCTGGGGAGACGGATTGGGCAACGGCACACCGACGCTTGGGGCATGTGGCAATGCCTTTGCTGAAGCAGCTGGAGAAGGATGGAGCCGTTAAGGGCTTGAAGCTGAACGGACAACCACCCGATGATAACTGTGAAATCTGTTTGCTCTCAAAGTTTACCCGTTTCCCCTTCCATAGTGTGGCTGGCAGGAGCAAGAAGCCGTTGGAGCTGGTCCACATGGACTTGGTGGGGCCGCTGCCGGTTCAGGGACACAAGGGGGAGCGGTACTTTCTGACCATAGTGGATGATTGGAGCAGGCTTATGTGGGCATATCCGCTGAAGCAGAAGGACCATGCCGCCTCTACGATACGGGAAGATTGGCTGCCATTCGTGGAGAAGCAAGCGGAGTGTGTGGTGAAGCGGATTAGGACAGATCGGGGTGGTGATTTCCTTGGAGCTGAGATGACGGCCTGGCTCAAGAAGCAAGGCATCCAGAGGGAGCTGACCACGGCTTACACCCCACAGTCTAACGGTGTAGCAGAACGGGCGAACCGGACAATTCTGGAGACAGCTAGGGCGCTGCTCATAGAATCTGGGCTGGGCAACTCCATGTGGCCCCATGCTGTTCGGCACGCTACCGTCGCTAGGAACAGGGTACTCACAAAGGTTGGGGATGACTCGTGGGTGCCGTTGGAGAGGTGGCTTGGGAGGAAGCCGCCGGTGGACATGCTGAGGGTGTTCGGTTGCATGGCAGTCGCCCACGTCCCCAAGACCTACCGCAGTAAGTTGGGGGCAAGTGCAATCTGGTGTGTGCATTTGGGGCTGGCTGCTGAGAGCAAGGGATGGCTGCTGTGGGAACCCTCCAAGGGTGTGTTATTTGACAGCAGGGATGTGAATTTTGTTGAAGGCATGATGTATGGGAGCTGGGAGAAACAGCCGGAGGCCAGGGTGTCCCAGCAGATGGAGCAGATCACCATGCAGCTGGACCTGACTCCTAGTGTGTGGGAGGAGGGAGAGGAGGCAGCTGCAAAAGGTGGTGCTGGAGAGAAGGTGCAGGAGGCACCTGCCGGTGAAAAAAATGGTGTGGAGACTAGCGGTAGCACTAGTGGAGCTGCTGGATCCGAGGGAGGAGAGCAGCAGCAGGGGAAAACTAAGAAGCCGAAGGGTGTTGTTATGAAGGGATGGGAAACACCCGTCTCCAGACCAGGACGTACCCGTATGGCTACTAAGAAGCTGACTGCAGGAGCTGATGTAGCGGAGCAGCAGCTTGGGACAGAAGAGGCATTGCTGATTCTACCGCATGGCTATGACCCGGATGAGGAGGATGAGCCTGCGTACTGTTTTCTTGCCCCTGCACCAGAGGAACCAGCTAGCATGGAGGAGGCATTAGCTGGACCAGATAGGGACAAATGGCTGGCTTCTAGGGATGCTGAGTACCAGAGCCTGCTGGAGAATGGGACTTGGGAACTAGTGGTGCTGCCTGAGGGAAAGAAAGCGGTACAATGCAAGTGGGTGCTAAGGATCAAGACTGACGACAAGGGGCAGGTCACCATCTACAAGATTAGGTTGGTGGCTAAGGGGTTTATGCAGAAGGAGAAGCGGGACTTCAATGAGATCTTTGCTCCCACAGCCAAAACCCATACCCTTCGTGTCTTGTTGGCAGATGCAGCCGTTGATGGGGAGTTCATTATCCAGATGGACATATCAACGGCATTCCTCAACGGGATCTTAGAGGAGGAGGTGTTCATGACGCAGCCGCCTGGGTATGAGGATGGTACGGGCACGGTGTGCAAGCTGAAAAAGTCCATCTACAGCTTAAAGCAGGCGCCACGCTGCTGGTACCAGAAGTTGGCAGCTGTTTTAGAGGAGATGGGATTCAAGACCAGCAGCTGTGATGAGAGCCTCTTTCTCAAGGGGGAGGGGGAGAAGCTGGTGCTGTTTCTGGTCTATGTGGACGACATTCTTCTCTTTAGCAGCAGCATGAAGGAGATCCAGAAGGTGCAGCAGCAGCTGATGGAGAACTTCAAGTGCAAGAACCTTGGGGAGGTAAAGTACTACCTCGGGATGCACGTAGAGAGGGATCCAGATCACAGGTGGTTGAAACTGCACCAGGAGAAGTTCATCAAGGAGCTGGGGGAGAAGTATGGGATTGAGAATGAGCGCAAGGTTGCAACTCCCCTGCCAGCAGAATTCAAGCTTGTGAAAGCTGCAGAAGATGAAGGGGTTGAAGCTGAGGAGCAGCAGCAATTTCAGTCCTTGGTGGGCAGCCTCTTGTATGCAGCAGTTCACACGAGGCCCGACATCTCATTCTCGGTTGGGCAGCTGGCTAGGGTGGTGCAGAATCCATCAGAGGAGCAGGTGGATGCAGCAGAGCGTGTGGCGAAGTATCTGAACTCTCACCCAAGCATTGGAGTTCAGTATTCCGCATCTGCACAGGTGAAGCACAAAGCGGTTAAGGTGCTGAAAGAGAAGGGGGAGAGGCTTGGAGAAGGCAAGCTCTTTCTCACTTGCTTTACCGATGCTACGTGGGCCTCTGAGAAGGAAGATTCTTCATCTGTGGGAGGATACATCTGCGTAGTAGGGGGAGGACCTGTTAGTTGGAGGTCCAAGAAGCAGACGGAGACAGCACTCTCTTCCGTGGAGTCAGAGTACATGGCGATGTTCCATGGGGTGAAGGAGGTGATTTGGCTGAGGAGGCTATTAGAGGAGATTGGCCAGGAGCAAAAGATTGCTACGCCGCTGTTTTGTGATAGCAAGGGAGCTCTTGGGATGGCCAGGAACGCTGTGCTTCATGGGCTGAACAAGCACATGCGTATCAAGTGGCACTGGCTGCGTAAGGAGGTGAAGAGGGGGACGGTGAATCCGATCTACATCAAGACTCACCAGCAGCCAGCAGACTTCCTCACCAAGAGGCTTGCGGATGAGCCTCATTGGCGTTGTGTGCGCATGAGTGGAATGAGCATGAACTAGTATGGAATGATGGGGATGCAGCCGGCAGGCTGAGGGGGAGTGTGTTGGGTGCAAATTCACATTGCACGACATCCTGCCGTCTGATTGTACGAGTATGCGTATGCGAATGCATTTGCGTGTGAATGGTATGTTCGTGTGTTTGTTTGCTTTCGCAATTTTTGCTTGAAGCATTTGCAGGTACTCGCACAATGTGCGCTTCGGCATAACATTGTACGCGCTATGAACAGTACAAGCAGAAAGGACGAGCTCGCAAAGGAACCCAAGATGGAAGCTTTGCGGTTCGGTTGAATTGATTGTGCAGATTCAGTTCTATCCAACTCGAAATTGTACTATTTTGTTTGGTTGACTATAGTGTAGCAGGGCAGGCACTATAGGGGTACAATTTAGGTGAAGGTTGGATGTTGTTTGTCTGTATCTGCATGCTACAGGGCCAGGGGAAACCAGTGGAACCAGCATTTGGCTGGTTGGGCAAAGACAAAACAGGTTCTGTTTTTAGGACCTGAACCTGGTTGTTGTTTTCCCAGGTTGGAAAAACAGAACCAGAGGTTGTTTACCAACCTACCACCTGCTGTTTTGTCCAGCCAGGTTGGTTCTGTTGCTTGGAATTATTTGGGATGATCCCTGGTTCTTCTCAGGTTCATTCCCAAGGTCCTTGCTAGCTAGAACTATTTATTCCTTCTCTGTTTGTACCTGGATATAGTGAAATTGATTCAAGCGAATTCCTTCCTTGCTGGAATTTCGTTTCTACGCGATGCGACGGCGGAATGATACCCGAGTCAACGCTAGTATGCTAGCACTCCAACGCTAGGCTAACGCTGTCCGAGCCATAACTTCGTAATGGCAGAACTTTTCGCGAGGCAATTTGGCTTATTTTAAAGCTCTTATAGTAAGCTTCGATATAGGAAATTCTCAGCTTAATCCGGTCGACGGTCTGCACGATACGCTGCGCGACGTTCAAGGTACTCTTGCTGTTTTGACTAAGTCCCTCTTGATAGCTCTACAAACTCGGACCCGAGGATAGGGGCTGGTCTTGTACCAGGCACCCAAGGACCCTTGGAGGTGACCCCGAGGAGAGGTTTTAAGTTTGATAAAGTCTTAATAGCTTGAGTTTATTAGGCCCATACACCAACATGCGAAGGACGTAGGTGCAGGGACCAAAGCCCCCACCACGCTGACGCTGCGTGTACCACTCATGGAGCTGCTGAGGGGGGGGGGATGTCCCGAGAACGCTGCTGTTGCTGCTGCTGCTGCTGGCGCTGACCACCACCAGTGCTGCTCCGCTGCGAAGCGCCACCCCGACCACCTCCACCTCCTCCTCCACCGTTTCCTCCACCTTCGCCTCCACCGCTGCCTCCGCTAGGATCGCCGCCGCCTCCGCCTACACTGCTGCCACCGACACCTCCACCCCCGCCACCACTCCCACCGCCACCCCCACTCCCCCCGCCGCCTCCACCTCCACCTCCACCGGCCCCGCTAGCTCCACCCGCACCCTTGCCCCCCTTGCCCTTGCCAGAGCGGCGTCTCCCGCTAGGGGCAGGCGCCGCACCGACCGATTCAAGACCAACGAGGTCGGCCGCAGCGGCAGAGGAAGCAGAGGGCAAAAGGGGAGAAGGAGATTACCCCTCAAAGATGGGGGTGCGAGGGTCACTACGAGAGGCTCCTATAGCGACGATGCTCTTCTCCGCTGCTAGGAGGGCCTTCTCTAAAAGGTCAACAGTGAGAGTGGTGGGACAGACCGAGAGGAAGTGGTCCCTTACTACATGAAGGGAGTCAGGGAGGCGGGTGACTATAAAATAGAGAGTGATGTACATGGGGGGGGGTTCTTGGCGCAGAACTCAGCAGGAAGCGCGGCGCGGTAGCGAGTGTCACTAGTGTGGAGGTGCGTAATGAGGTCAGAGACTGTGGGAAAGGCAGCAAGGTCAGGGAAGAGGAAGGGTAGTATGAGGCGCCTCAGTGCAGCAGTGGCAGAGGAAGAGTAGCGCGCAACTACAGCGTCGTACAAGGTCTGAGCACTCTTGTACTGACTAAAGTGCGCGCGCTCAGCGGTAGGCAGGTGGCGACGCACAGCAAGACGTGCAGCAGCATCGCGCGTGGCCCACTGGGAGTGAACAGTGGGGTCAGCATCAGCAGCAGGGGCAGGAGAGGCGCCAGGGGTGAGGTCAAAGAGAGAGAGACCGTCTGCCCTATCGCACTGTAAGTACAGCTGCAAATCGTCAACCAATCGGGAAGCTCGGCTCCTCAGCGGCCAGGCGGCTGGGGCGGCTCGGGCGGAGCGGGCGGTGAAGGGCGGCGGGGCTGCAAGGTAGGTGGCGGGGCCTCAGTAGGAGAGGCGGCGGGTCCGCAGAGAAGGGCGGCGGGGCCGCAGCGAGAGAGGTGGCGGGGCCGCGACGAACGGTGGCGGGGTCGCAGTGGGAGAGGCGGCGGGGCCGCAGTGAAGGGCGGCGGAGCCGCTGAGAAGGGCGGCGGGGCCGCTGCGAGAGAGGCGGCGGGGCCGCAACGAAGGGCGGCGGGGCCGCAGTGTGAGGCGGCGAGGCCGCAGTGAAGGGCGGCGGGGCCGCTGAGAAGGGCGGCGGGGCCGCAGCGATAGAGGCGGCGGGGCCGAATCGACGGGCGGCGGGGCCATCAGGGCGGCGGGGCCTAATCGACGGGCGGCGGGGCCGAATCGACGGGCGGCGAGGCCGTTAGGGTGGCGGGGCCTAATCGACGGGCGGCGGGGCCTAATCGACGGGCAGCGGGGCCACTAGGGCGTAGGGGCCGCTAGGGCGGCTCAACGAAGTGAGAGTTCGGAGCGCGACTCAGGCTGAGCGCTGCAGGAAAAAAATAACTCGATGTGGTGGGCCCTAGGCACAGTTCCCAGGAGGGAACCTGCTCTATACCATGTGAAAAGTAGAACGAGAATGAATGACTATGGAATGGAAGTGATACAAATATGCAACCCTAGAAATGTGTACCCCAAATGAGCTACCCCACTATAGCCTACACAAGATTATAATTTGACATTGACTCGAGGTCAACCCGAAACACGACGTTTTGCATCGAACCGTACATTCGGCATGGAGCTATTGGCACCCCCCACGTTCGCGGAACCGATGGACATCGACAAATACCACGCGAAACAGTAGCCGGCAAAATGCGATTTTTGCGGTGCAGCAGGGCATCAAATTTTGCCGTGCTACAAGATGAAAAATGCACGTGCGGGACTGCAGGGCGGCAACACGAGAACACCTCAGAAGTAAAAAAAACGAGAATCGCCAGTAGCCGCGGATCTACCTCGCGATCGCGTAAAGATACGAAAACAAGAAAAATGAGACAACATGGTGACTTCCGAACGGGTGAAAAAAAAAATGGTGCGAATATAAAACGTCACGACCGTCTGGCACCAGGGAAAATCGCCGAGGCGAATGGAGGCTCCGCGAAAAAAGACTGCACCGACCGGGAAACTCCAGCCGAACATCCACGAAAGTAAGAATTCGTTTGAAGTATCCTATAAAGATACTGTAACAAAAATTTTTGTTTCTGGTGGTTTTCAAGCCTTCGAAATATTCAGCGGAGATTTAGAGGCCAAGAAAAGACCTTTAGAGATTATTCAGGTACCTGAGAAGTTGGGCAAAGTACTACGGAGCATCAAAAGGATCGTGCGTTCTGTGGAGTTAATATTCTCTCCTGCTGCCAAGGCTTAGAGGAAAATTCCAGGCTCCTTAGAAGTTGTACAAGCGTCGGAAAAATCCTCCGACCCCCCAGGTGAAGTTGGAAGAGAAAAGTGCTGAGTCAGGTATAGGAAATAGGGATGGTATTCACTTTGGTATACCCTATGATCCTATGAGACCCTCTTTGGCTGCTCAGCGCAGCAGGCACCACTACTCCTCGAGGTATTATGCAAAGGACGACGCCTCCAGGCACTGGTGGATGTTGGTGTAAGGGCCTAATAAACTCAAGCAATTAAGACTTAATCAAACTTAAAACCTCTCCTCGGGGTCACCTCCAAGGGTCCTTGGGTGCCTGGTACAAGACCAGCCCCTATCCTCAGGTCCGAGTTTGTAGAGAGAGGGATCAAGAGGGACTTAGTCAAAACAGCAAGAGTACCTTGAACATCGCGCAGCGTATCGTGCAGACCGTCGATCGGATAAAGCTGAGAATTTCCTATATCGAAGCTCGCTCCAAGAGCTTTAAAATGAACCAAGTTGCCTCGCGAAAAGTTCTCCCATTACGAATTTATGGCTCGGACAGCGTTTGCCTAGTGGTGGAGTGCTAGCGTACTAGCGTTGACTAGGGTAGCATTCCGCCCTCGTACCGCGTAGAAACAAGATTCCAGGAAGGGAGGAATTTGCTTGAATCAAATTGACTATATCCAGGTACAAACAAATGAGGAATAAATAGTTTTAGCTAGCAAGGACCTTGGGAATGAACCTGGGAACAACCAGGGATGATCCCAAATAATTCCAAGCAACAGAACCAACCTGGCTGGACAAAACAGCAGGTGGTAGGTTGGTAAACAACCACTGGTTCTGTTTTTCTAACCTGGGAAAACAACAACCAGGTTCCGGTCCTAAAAACAGAACCTGTTTCGTCTTTGCCCAACCAGCCAAAAGCTGGTTCCGCTGGTTTCCCCTGGCCCTGTAGCATGAAGATACAGACAAACAACATCCAACCTTCACCTAAATTGTACCCCTATAGTGCCTGCCCTGCTACACTATAGTCAACCAAACAAAACAGTACAATTTCGAGTTGGATAGAACTGAATCTGCACAATCAATTCAACCGAACCGCACAGCTTCCATTTTGGATTCCTTTGCGAGCTCGTCCTTTCTGCTTGTACTGTTCCTATCGCGTACAATATTGTGCCGTAGCGCACAATGTGCAAGTACCTGCGAATGCTTCGAGAGAAAATTGTGAAAGCAAACAAACACACGAACATTCCATTCACACCCAAATGCATTCGCACACGCATACTCATACAAACAGGTGGCAGGATGTCGTGCAATATGAATTTGCCCCCAACACACTCACCCTCAGCCTGCCGGCTGCATCACCATCATTCCATGCTAGTTTATGCTCATTCCACTCATGCGCACACAACGCCAATGTGGCTCATCCGCAAGCCTCTTGATGAGAAAGTCTGCTGGCTGCTGGTGAGTCTTGATGTAGATTGGATTCACTGTCCCCCTCGTCACCTCCTTACACAGCCAGTGCCACTTGATACGCATATGCTTGTTCAGCCCATGAAGCACAGCGTTCCTGGCCATCCCAAGAGCCCCCTTGCTATCACAAAACAGCGGCATAGCAACCTTCTTCTCCTGGCCAATCTCCTCTAACAGCCTCCTCAGCCAAATCACCTCTTTCACCCCATGGAACATCGCCATGTCCTCTGATTCCACAGAAGAAAGTGCCGTCTCCGTCTGCTTCTTTGACCTCCAACTAACAGGTCCTCCCCCAACTACACTGATGTATCCTCCCACAGATGAGGAATCCTTCTTCTCAGAGGCCCACGTAGCATCAGTAAAGCAAGTGAGAAACAGCTTGCTTTCTCCAAGCCGCTCCACTTTCTCTTTCAGCACCTCAACCCCTTTCTGCTTCACCTGTGCAGATGCGGAGTATTGAACTCCAATGCTTGGGTGAAAGTTCAGATACTTCACCACACGCTCAGCTGCATCCACCTGCCCCTCTCATGGATTCTGCACCACCCTAGCCAGCTGCCCAACCGAGAAAGAAATGTCGGGCCTTGTGTGAACTGCTGCATACAAGAGGCTGCCCACCAAGGACTGAAATTGCTGCTGCTCCTCGGCTTCAACCCCTTCATCATCCGGAGCTTTCACAAGCTTGAATTCTGCTGGCAGGGGAGTTGCAACTTTGCGCTCATTCTCAATCCATACTTCTCCCCCAGCTCCTTGATGAACTTCTCCTGGTGCGACTTCAACCACCTGTGATCCAGATCCCTCTCCACATGCATCCCGAGGTAGTACTTTACCTCCCCAAGGTTCTTGCACTTGAAATTCTCCATCAGCTGCTGCTGCACATTCTGGATCTCCTTCATGCTGCTGCTAAAGAGAAGAATGTCGTCCACATAGACCAGAAACAGCACCAGCTTCTCCCCCTCCCCCTTGAGAAAGAGGCTCTTATCACAGCTGCTGGTCCTGAATCTTATCTCCTCTAAAACAGCTGCCAACTTCTGGTACCAGCAGCGTGGCGCCTGCTTCAAAACATAGATGGACTTTTTCAGCTTGCACACCCTGCCTGTACCATCCTCATACCTAGGCGGCTGCGTCATGTACACATCCTCCTCTAAAATCCCATTGAGGAATGCCGTTGATATATCCATCTGAATGATGAATTTCCCACTAACGGTTGCATCTGCCAACAAGACACGAAGGGTAGGGGGTTTGGCAGTGGGAGCAAAAATCTCATTGAAGTCCCGCTTCTCCTTCTGCATAAACCCCTTAGCCACCAGCCTACTCTTGTAGATGGTGACCCGTCCCTTGTCATCGGTCTTGATCCTTAGCACCCACTTGCACTGTACAGCTTTCTTCCCATCAGGCAGCACCACCAGATCCCATGTCCCATTCTCTAGCAGGCTCTGGTACTCAGCATCCCTAGAAACCAGCCACTTCTCCCTATCTGGTCCAGCTAATGCCTCCTCCATGCTAGCTGGTTCCTCTGGTGCAGGGGCAAGAAAACAGTAGGCAGGTTCATCCTCCTCATCCGGGTCATAGCCATGAGGTAGAATCAGCAATGCCTCCTCTGTCCCAAGCTGCTGCTCTGCTACATCAGCTATTGAAGTCAACTTCTTAGTAGCCATACGGGTACGTCCTGGCCT